GACAGGCCATAACTCAAGAATGATAAATCGAATAATAATAATTCATAGGTCAAAATAAAGCCCATAATAAGAGGGACATGAATATGGAAAGTTTAGTCATTTATCAATTATGCGATAAAAATATACGCGTAGTATTGGTCCACAAATGGATCCCAAAAGCTACCATTCATTATTCTTATCGGGTCATAACGATTTCTGGTTTGGGTGACTTGACATTGCATACAATACTGTACGACGTAACATGATGGAAGAAGGTGCTAAGAAGGACCTATCACACATGGCATTAGTCACTATATAGTGATAAATCAATTTTAAATACAACTCATTCCTGAAGATGGTCAGTCGCTGCCCTGATAGCTTATCAGTAACATCTCTAACTATAAAGCTAAATGACACATGATGGAATCCGTTAGTGAGCATCAATTCCCTCAAAAATACAGGTTCACCTAGTTGACAAATGCCAAATAATATGAGATTTAAAATTTTCTGTTGACCACCTCCAACTACCACCATAAATTTCGTCTAATTTACCAACGAGTTTTCGTACAAATATTTTGAGCATAAATATTTGGTAAATCAGTAGTTTATACTAATATATGGAAAATTTATAAACGTGTTTCTTTCATCTCTTCTAATTTTCTTCCTAGAAAATAAGATAAGGGTCATTAAAACAATAGCTTGATTGAGTTATACCATGAAATTCATTAAATAACATCCTATCAAAATCGGTTAACTAATTGTGATTTTATTAAAAAGTCAACAAAATGAGTGTGATTATCTAGAAATTTAAAATAATTTTATATAAACAACTTTACACAACTTGAATGTCAAGTACTTCTTATCATTGTTTTTTTTTCTTTCTTCATATGATAAGTATTCCTTGAATTATTTCACCCAACAGATCCTTCATAAACAAAAGTGATCTTAAGAATTCATTCATTGAATTAAGATGAATAAACCTTTCTGCTAAAACTAATTTTAAAAATTGTTTAATTATAATGTTTTTATGAAATGAATGATATTTAGAATATGATATACATAGTTGTTTACAGACTTAATCATCTTCTGTCGATGTATATTCATATCATAGATCCATCATAACAACTGCAATCAAGGTTTCATACTTTAGTCGTTACTAAAGTAAACACATTAATTTCAATATTGTGTCATAGTATATTTCACCATTACTCAATGCTCTTATCATTTTTACTGAAAAATGAGTAAAAAACTGGATTTCTAAGAGGATATTGTTACACATTTCACAGATTTTTAAAACGCTGTATGTAAAGTCAATCGATTAATCTTTGGGTGAGTAATACAATTAGAACTATTACAAGTATGACTATAACCAAAAAATGTTTTAGTTAAACTACTGTTCTAATAAAATGTCCTCAGATACTTGTATTAAAACAAATCAAAATAAAAAGGTACACCTTTGAACCACTTCTTCAGCAGAAAGTCAGTTGGTTGGAAAAACGCATTTAAGTATGATTAGACAATAAGATACCTTCAGTAAATGTAGCCTGTGAAAAGAAAAAAAACGTTTCGAGTAAGTTATTCAAAATTCAACAAGCAGCTTTTTCTTAAAGTCTAATGGATTGATTGAACGAATCAATCTTGTGTATTTCGTGACCATAAACCAATAATTAGGGAACACCTTATCAAAATCTAGAGGTTACGTAATCATATAAATAGTTTATTAATTCTATGATTCAAAACTACCATAGTAAAAACTTACAAAACTAAACTGGAAATAATAACTAAATGGCATAATCCTGAAGTAATAACTTTATAATATATAAATTTAACTGAACATGTCTAAAACTCCGTATATGGATATGAAATATGTCACAATAAAGATACAGGTCTTTTAGTGAAAATTATCTTACAATTACTTGAGCTATTTCATTTTAACTAGATTTAATAGTTGAGATCATGAGTCAATTGAATCTAGACCATCATGGTAGACCGTTTCGTTCTAGTGTAGGACTCCTCAGCAATGCTCATCCATGATCGCGCCTCGCAAGATTCAAACTCAGGATCTACCGATCTCACGCGCAAACGCCTAATTTCTAGACGCTGTTAATGTCTAACTTCAACTAATCTAAGAAATTGAGCAACATGTCCACCATTGTCTTCAATGAGTAACTTTCTCACAACACACCCGGTTGTACTCCAGTGATCACTGCTTCTCACTAGAACTTCAGGAAATACTTCTTGAAGCCAGTTACTAGTAAGCATATGATGATTATTATGAGAAGAGGGTTTATGTGTATATTATAGTAATTTGATAGTTGAGATGATGAGTCAATTAAAGCTAGACCACCTTGAAAATCACGGAAAGAACCAGAAAACCATTTCGTCCTATTGTGAGACTTCTCAGCAGTGCGCATCCACGATCCCGCTCACGGGCTTCAAACCTAGGGCCTTCAGTCTCGCGCGCGAACGCTTAACGTACTGGACCACTAAGCCGGCATCCAACGGTGTTAATGTCTAACCTCAACCAATCCAAGAAGTTGCGCGACCATCTACCATTGTACTGAGATAGACACATGTTTCTACCCGACAGGGATTAGCTCCACTGGTCACAACTTCTCACCACAACTCCGAGAATTTTCTCTCGAAGCTAGTCACTAGTGAGCACACTGTAATCGTCAGTTTAGGGGTTGTGGAGATTGTCAAGTTTTTAATCGAGATCAAGAACAGATTGATGTTAGACCACCATTGAAAACCTGGAAGCACTGGACGGCCGTTGATCGCGCAACTTCGTGGATTGGTTGAGGTTAGACATTAAAGCCGTTGGATGCCGGCTTGGTGGGCGAAAACGTTAAGCGTTTGCGCGCGAGACTGAAGGCTCTAGGTTCGAATCCCGTGAGCGGGATCATGGATGCTCACTGCTGAGTCATCCCACAGTAGGACGAAACGGTTGTCCATTGCTTCCAGGTTTTCCATGATGGTCTAGCTTCAATTGACTCATGGTCTTAACTATTAAAATAAAATTGTTGATTTAATATTGAATTTATGCTTTTAAATTCAATATCAAATTATTTTGTTTTAATTTGTCTAAAATCAAATTATAAATGAATCATATAGGATGGTAATCGTACTTATAAGATTTATTGTTACATTGCATGATTGGACAAAAAGGGGAAAATGAATTCGAATTATTTAGAATATTCTTCTGTTTGTTTTAGTGTTCAGTATTACTTTATCCATGTCAGTTTATTTCGATTTTAAAATGGTTCTTCTTTTGAAGTTACTCAAAACCTAAAAAATGAAACAATACTAGATATTCATTGATTTGTTGATTTTTATGGTACTACTGAAAATGATTAAAGAGAGCGATCATTTGAATAAGTATATTCATGAGTCGATTAAAGCTAGATCACCACTGAAAACCTGGAAACGACCGTTTCCTCCTAGTATGGGACGCCTCAATAGTACACATCCATTATTCTGCATGCAAGACTCGAACTCAGGACTTTTAGTCTCACGCACGTAAGCTCAAATGTATTAAAGTGTTATTCTTGACTTGGTCAACTGAAATTAATGATTATGAAAAATTATTCAATAATAAGGAAAGTAACAATGAAAAGTTGTTTGTATTACTTACTCAATTGATAAAATATTCTCGCATTATTATTCTATTGTAATTAACACCAAGTCAACAGGTTACACGGAACAATGGCAAAATATGATGATGAATAATTATAAGCTAGTATCACTAATGACCATCTATGGTGCATGTTATCACAAACATTTTCATTTCTTACTTCTGTTGTTGTATAAGTGCAAAGTTAATCATCTAAACTATTTTTTTATCAACACTACACACGATCCTTTATATTATGAGGTACTGTCTCAAGACTATTTCCTTATTCACATGAAATTACTTGTAGTTTACAAAACTTTTAGTCAAATCTCTGACCATATTATCTCAAGCATTTACATACAATAAACACTGAAATTTAATGCGTTTTTACATAATATATATTTTCACTGGTCAACGTTTTAATAGTATTTTCAGCCTTAGCGTTCCAATAATGTTAATCTTATCAAATTATGCATGTATAGTTTAGCGGTGGATATCTAACTACTGGTCTCCATTTATACTGATTTAGAATATCTGAAACATTTGTGTAAACTTGACTAAATAAGAAATTCAAGATTTGATTAAGCTGACTATTTATATCTACCTCTCAATCTAACGACAAAGTAATAAATTTTATTATAGATTAACATCATCAATGGGTCAATTTTAGAACACCATTAAGAACCTGAAAGCATTGAACGGTGATTTCGTCTTAGTACAGGACTCATCAACAGCGTACATTCACAATCCTGCACACCGGACTCGAATCCAGCATTTTCGGTCTCGGCCATCTGATGTTTTGTTTCGGGTTTTGAATTGTGTTTTAACATTGATCCAATCATAATATCACTTTAAACTCAACAATTTCCCCAACCTTATACTGAAATATCTTTTCATTTTTGTAAACTTCATGTACCTTACAAATAAATGATTAGTTACGTTTTTCTTTAAAAGTCATAACACCTAGTCACTATTACCGACTAACGGATAAACCTTCAGAATTCCTTTTAAACAACTATTTTAATATTCGTTAAAAACAAAAAGAATATCTTCTGATTTTTATAATGTATAGTAATGAAATAACATTTATGTTTATATACATATGTATATTAACAATAGTATTCGTTATTGCAGTTATGGTAAAGTCATATGCAACTTGTATGACATTATTTACAATTAATTAAGATATAATGGATATATATATTGAAAAATACAATAATACAATACTCTCTATATATCGAATTTCCATTCAAGGAATGTATAGATACAATTGAAATACAAATCTGTTTTACTGCAGAAGAATTGATCAATACATTTAGAACAAGCATTAGATCGTTTTATTCAACGGTATAATTGAATCTAATGATCTAGTAAATTTATTTATAATTGTTAAATATAATTTAATTCATTATATACATTTAAACTTTTGACAAATAAGTACATGTATATCAGCTCGAAAATTTGGATTCATAAATCCATATATAATAGGATTAATTGCATTATTTATATAATATAAATAAAATATTGGTAAATATAATGGAACATATTGTATAGCCATTAACATAGCTGGTATAAATGTAACAATATAAACAACTGCAACAACAAATAACATTGCAGCTGTTTTTAAATTTTGAAATGCAATATTATCTTTGATTGTTTTCATTGAACGACGTGTTTTCTCTTCATTTATTATTAAATTTGTTTCATAATTTAATGTAATTGGTTGAATAATTACAGATTCTGTATTATTACAACAATTTTTAGTAACTAATGTATTTGAATTCATTGTTTGTTGTTGGTGATGTTGTTGTTGTTGTTGTTCATAGTGGTGGTGGGGTTGTTGTTGTTGTTGTTCATTGTGTTTTTGTGATGGATCATTAATTTCTTCATTATTTTTTATATCAGTATTACATACATAAATTAATGGTTTCATTGTTTCAGTATAATTTGATTCAGATATTATATGTTGATTTAATTCATCACAATGAGTTAATGGATTATCTTGATTTGTTAATATCAATTTGATTGGGGATATTTTTATTTTTTTTGATTGATAATTAAATAAATTTTCAAATATCAATTTATAGTTTTTCTTTTTTTTATTATTATTGTGATTGTTTTTTATTTTTTTATGTTGTTTATTTTCTTTTTTTACACCTTTTAATTCTAAACGTTTTTTAAATACCTAATAATTTAAAAGAAAAAAAACATGAGAGAAAAAGAAAACAATGTATCAGATAATGAAAAGTAAACAAGTAATTTCTATTCATTTGTTTTAAATAATAACTTATCAATTGTAATATTTGAATTCACGAGTCAATTAAACCTAGACCATCATGGAAATCATGGGAAGAACTTGACTATCGTTTCTTCCTAGTATAGGACTCCTCAGTAGTACTCATCCATGATCATGCCTTGCGAGATTCAAACTCAGGATCTGTCAGTCTCCCATGCAAACGCTAAATCTCAAGACCACTGAGCCGTCATCCAACGCTGTTATTGTCTAACTTCAACTAATCTACGAAATTGAGCAACTTGTCCTTCATTGTCTTTAGTGAGTTACTATCTCACAACACACCCGGTTGTACTCCATTGGTCACTGTTTCTCACTAGAACTCCAGGAAATACCTCTTGAAGCTAGTCACTAGTGAGCACGTGATGGTTATAATGAGAAGACGGTTTATGTGTATATTATAGTAATTTCAATAGTTGAGATCATGAGTCAATTGAACCTAGACCACCATGGAATACCTGGAAACCCTGAAGAGCCGTTCCGTCCTATTGTAAGACTCCTCAGAAGTGCGCATCCATGATTTTCCATAGTGGTCTAGCTTCAATCTACTCATGAATTCAACCATTAAAAATTATTACAATCTCGAAAAAACTCCTTTTCATGTAATCATCTATTAGGGCATTAGTTATTATTGTAGGATTATTATTTTTATTATTATTATCATGAACAATTAACAGGAATGCACACTCAAAAACATACAAAAATAACAAATTAAGCTCTTTGAATAATTTGACCTAATTTCAATGTTTTTTTATTTTAACCGCTAAAATGATCTGATTTTATTTGATAATAATAATAAACAAATAAATTAAAATATGACTATTGAACACTTTAGTTCGACAGTTTCTAATACATTAAATTATTTATTGATTTCTGCAAAAAAAAATTAAATGGAAAATTCCTTAAAAAGAACATTCTTCTCAGCAACCTTGCGAATAGTATTCTCCAGCCGACCGTTGTTCACGACTAATCTTAAAGATAAATGATCGCATCTGACCAAATCAATGTGCAATTACCAATTTACCTGCTCATGTGGAGCTAGGTATATAGGTCGTTCGATGCGTACTTTATCTAAAAGAATTCGGGAACATTGTCCGGCATGGCTAAAAAGAGGAGGCAACGACTCAATAATAAGTTCAATAATCGAACACCTTGTGAGCACAAGTCACTCAATGAAGACAGACTCTGCGTTCAAAGTCATCTACAAGGTAAGTAGAATTCTTCCAAAGACAGTTAGACTGCATCTTCTGTGCATTACCGAAGCATTAGTCATACATCTGGAAAAACCAGAATTGTGTGTGCATAAGAGACTGGCATAACCTCTTCTTCTATCATGATCTTAATGTCTTGTAACTTCTTTTTTCTTTTACAGCTATCTGCTTCTCTCATCTTCCCCTTAAATCCTCTACTCCTAACTGGTTCATTTTGTTTTCATGATCATTCTGATTACATTTAATCTCAATTTCAACATTTTATCCTATCATGCTGAGTCATCCTTTCCCAATGATAGTTTCCCTATCTATTTTTATGTATACTTAAACCATTAACAATCAAACGATTATTAAGTTTTCCTTGCTTTATAGAAATTTTTTTTAATACCTTTGTTTATTTAACCTCACTGTCACCATGTCTAACAGAAGTTTATTCTCAGTATTATTATCATCCTGTAAAAATAAGTATATATGTATTTGCGGTTGTACAGCTTTGAAAATAAATTCGCCGAAAATAGAACTCGCTGAACTACTCTTTCTTATTTAATGTCTTAATGGGTGTATTCCGTTTACTAGAAAATTATGTTACCTATTGAAATAACCTAGAATATGTAGAACGATAAATCTATGACATCATCTTCCATTGTTATTGTTCAGTGCAATCTTGTGTTTCATTGTTTCTTATATCTAGTTGTAGATAAATTCAATCATTCTATAACAATACATTCAATATATTGGTGGATGTGTTGCTCAGTTTCGCGGATTCCATGAAGTCAAACATTAACACCATTGGATACTGGCTCAGTGGTCTAGTGCTTAAGCGCGGGATGCACACTGCTGAGAAGTCCCACAATAGGACGAAACAGCCATCCACTGCTTACAGATTTTCCGTGTTGGTTTAGCTTCAATTGACTCATGATCTCAACTATTGAAATTACTATAATATCCACAAAAAATCCTTCCAATACATTATTCACAACTTAGCAAAAATTCTCAGTTTTCATATTCAAAATTATACGTTTCAAACATCTACCTGCCATACATCATTATTATCTTTATGATAAATATCCTCTCAATATCATTTATGAATCTTTATTATCTGTCATTTACATAGAACAATGTGTTTCTATATCAATCTGAATCTCCACTTGAACTAGCGTGTGTTCTGTTATTAACTTAAGAATAAAATTTATTTATTTTGCTTCTCATGTAGTGATTTTGTTTAGATAAGTGAAAAAGAGAACAACTAATTAAAATGTCACATGTAAATTTCCAATTACTTTTAATCAAAATGTTAGTAATATTTGAACAATGATGTACATTGATAACGTTTGGTAACATAATAATGATTGATAAATATCTATCAATGAAATATTGTTGGTATTGTTAATGTTACTATGATTCAATCAATCAATCACTGTATGTAATTTTTTAATTGAGATCATGAACCGATTGATGTTAGACCAGCGTTGGGCCTTCAGTCTCGCGCCCGAACGCTTAACCTACTGGACCACTGAGCCGGCACACTGTAGGTAATTATTGTGTCAAGTATGGTGTTTATGAACTAAGTAATTTTAAAAAATAATTATTGGTTAATAATTAGCATGTAATGTTAATTCACTGATAGTTTCTGTAATATTCATTAGAAAGTTCATAAACATTTAACTGATAAGTCCTCCAACTCAAGTAATTTAATACCAGTAGATAGTGTAAAGATGCATTCTCAACGAAACAATATATAAATGTTATTATAGTTTAATTGAAAATAATTTTACTCTAAGATTGTGCTTCAAATCTAGTCTGGTTATTTGTTCGGTCCTCCAGTTTCAACATGCTTATTTTATGTTTGAAATTATGGTTAGTCAATAAATTAATAAACATATCGATACATTTTCGCTGAAATACGATTGAAATCTCACTATTTCAATGATGAGCAGATAAACTGGAAAATTATTCTATATGCACTAAGAAGAAATTAACCCCCAGACAGCTGAACAATAAGTTACTTTAATCATTCAAGATTTTCATATTCTTGGTGATCCATCTGACGAGTATCACATAGAATGAAAAGCACGTTTTGGATTCCACTGTTAGCGACTATCTGTCTACGCATGATACTCAACATCCATTGGCCGGATACCATCAGCAACAGCCTTTTGTGGGAGAGAACCAACCAGCTTCCAGCTGAAGAGGAAATTAGGAAAAGACGATGGAAATGGATAGGACATACATTGAGGAAATCATCAAACTGCATTACGAGACACGCGCTAACTTGGAATCCTGAAGGGAAGCGGAAAAGAGGAAGGCCAAAGAACACATTACGTCGGGAAATAGAAGCAGATATGAAAAAGATGAATAAGAACTGGAAAGAGCTTGAAAGGATTGCCCAGGACAGGGTTGGATGGAGAATGCTGGTGAGCGGCCTATGCTCCTTCACGAGGAGTAACAGGCGTAAGTAAGTAAAGTAAGTTAGCGACTATCCGTTTCTACTTAAATATCATCACTGACATCAACAATCTTTTTTTATTTTGTCACAAATTATAGCTTGGATCTTTTCCATGCTTAAACTAACAATATATATATGCGTTTATCACGACTCCTCTATAATATTTATAAAATCTAAAGCTTAGATTGTTGATAATACCGCTTACAATTTCAGCACTCGAACGCTAGAAACCTACAAGTTGTAAACGCGAAAACAGAAGACAAGTGAGAAGGAATGCTATTCCAAACAGTGTCAAATATGGTACAAAACCCTCAGGTGTTTATAGTTTTTAGTAAAAGCGAATAGATTTTCTATTCAGTGTGATAATCTAACATATAATGTTTAAAAGTAGAAAGAATATAAACACTGGCAAATTATGGATTAAATCAACAAAGAACCAGACAATAAATCCTACATTTCAACTTGTATACAAGTATAATGCTTTCTTGTTTATTTGAAGGAAGTTAATATCTTACTCTTAGTGCATATATGTAACGGTTTTGACTTTTATTTCAATGAATTGAAGCATGATACATTTCATAGTTTATTTCTTTTCAAGCATGACATAAAGTGACAAAATGATTTAAACCAACAAGATATGTTAATGTATACTAAGATTTTTAGACATTTTTGATTCGCATAACTCGTTCAGTTAGTCTATCGATGGTAAAAGAAACAGTCTATAATTTTATCACTTGTAGAAAGCAAATTATTACATCATAAAATTAGTAGCTGTTATATCTAGAGCTTAAATTGTTGATAATACCGCTTACAATTTCAGCACTCCAACGCTAGAAACCTACAAGATGTGAACGAGAAAACAGAAGACGATTGAGAAGGAAGGCTATTCTAAACAGTGTCAAATATGGTACAAAACTGTCAGGTGTTTATAGTTTTTAGTAAAAGTAAAATCAAAATTACAGTCATCCAATCCTCATACAGTGGTGTATAGCATTTGTCCAACAAGGGAGGTACACGTGGGAATTCCGAAATATTCTTCCGAAAGATTATTGGGTGGAATGTTATTAGCTCTTTCTGAGCTTCTTAAAACTTCCTTGAGTTCACCCATTAGCCGTAGCCACAATAGTTTTAGGTGTTTTATTTTTTATTTTTCACCTCGAATTTCATTATTTCTATATTAAGGTGTAAATGAATTTCTCGTTTATATACACTCGTGGTATAGTATCATTAACTAA